GTCCAGACTGGTCTGTCTCTGCTTGAGTAATGCGATGAAAACAGTGAGCAACTCTCCTCTGGCCAATGCGCTGGATAACAACATCAGTAACATCCACAGCCTCGGCCAAATCCTGCACAGTCTTGATTTAGAGGTGTAAAACCGCTGATGTGTTGTGACCATGAGCACATGTGTCTGTCACAGCAAGGTCTATTCTGACTGTCTTAACTATTCTGACATTCACATCCAGCCTCTTTTCTAATTTGGCATTCTTGGAAATTGTGCAAACGTGCAGCGTAGTCGGTTTACACTTTACTTCCCCTCTCTCTTTTTTAGCTACAGTCAAAGTGGCGGCATGATTCTGGGAAATGTGTTTTATTTCTCCAAAGCTTCAGTGACTGTGAGGTGAATTTTCATGCCATGCTGGACTGTGGAGCTGCATATATATATATATATATATATATACACACACAAACACACAAAAATGGCAAGTTTCAAATATGAATTAATACATGTCAGTTGAATAAAAGTACAGTGACAATAGAGATACCTAAATACAGCATGTGTATATATACTGCAGACTATACTGCAGTTAAAATAAGTTCAGTCTAAACTGATTTTTCCCGCTAGAGTAAACCAGAGTTCCAATGTATGATTCATTACTTTCTGTAACTATGAAAATGAACTGAAGGCTGCATCAATAAAATGCGGTTTACACTTTACTTCCCCTCTCTCTTTTTTAGCTACAGTCAAAGTGGCGGCATGATTCTGGGAAATGTGTTTTATTTCTCCAAAGCTTCAGTGACTGTGAGGTGAATTTTCATGCCATGCTGGACTGTGGAGCTGCATATATATATATATATATATATATACACACACAAACACACAAAAATGGCAAGTTTCAAATATGAATTAATACATGTCAGTTGAATAAAAGTACAGTGACAATAGAGATACCTAAATACAGCATGTGTATATATACTGCAGACTATACTGCAGTTAAAATAAGTTCAGTCTAAACTGATTTTTCCCGCTATAGTAAACCAGAGTTCCAATGTATGATTCATTACTTTCTGTAACTATGAAAATGAACTGAAGGCTGCATCAATAAAATGCATCATGAATGAATGGCACTAATCATCATCAGTGAACCATTCCCACTGTGCTAAAATATGAATCATGCTTAACATATAGGGTATAATACACAATACACTTGAAATGGGAGGGGAAACTAGCTTAGTAACCAAAGTAGGCTAGTTGATTTTAGCAGTAGAAAATAGTCTTGGTTGGTTTTGTGTGTTGTGATTATTTTATGAGGCGATCCAGTCAGATCTGAGAGCTGCAATCTATTCAATTTTAGTTTGTGGGATGATAGATTTTCCCTAACGAGTCCATTCTGTTTCCACAGCAGGCCAGGTCCACAGTTCTTCCAGATGATTCAGCTCCTGCCAGCACACAGACGCAGGAGGTCTCCTCTCTCCCAGAACTTCTGCAGGTGCACAGCAGTTTCCTGCGAGGGAAAGTCAGACTCCTGCTTTCAGCTGCACCAGCCTGCCAACGGCAAAACAGCTGATGCGAGCTCAGAGGAGCTCGGGAAATGTTTACAGCAGTCAGACATACACAACAAACCCGGACAAGAACACTTGACTGTGACACACTACCAAATAAAATCTAAAATGCTTTCCAGGTGTCGCTCTTCAAATGGTCTTCTGCATTCCAAAGCCTGCAGTCATGTTTCTAGAGTATGCATCATGCGGAGAGAGAAGCAAAACAGCAGTGACACCTTGACTTATTCAACAAGGCGAACATGGCAGAAGATCCTGCAGAGGAACATTTCAGAGCCCACAAGTGGACTCAAAGTCTTATATCGGTGTGGCGAACAGCTTGTCTGGCTGTATCCAGCCACCTGGACTACAGTACATATGAGACACTTTTATTTAAAACATATTTGTATGTTTTCTACAAATCCATGAATTGTGCTGCCATTTGTTCAATTTTTAGTAGGAAGTGTACGCACTCTACAGGACATGTCCTTTTCTGAGGTGTGTACATTTAACGGCAGGACCAAACGTCTTGTTTTCAGGGTTCAGGCAGGGTTTGCCAAGTGGACTCAATGCTGTGAGGCTGTGTGAAGTATGCTTCCATCTAGAGGATAAAATAGGAAGTTTAAATTAAACTGTAAGTATACATAAAATTAGTGCATAAAACATATTTTTAAAGTAGACAGTTTAGCACAACAACATGCGAATAAGGAGACAGGTCTATCAGTGTGTTTAATAACCGTTTTTAATGTTGTCCAGTTCAGATACACAACATACAGTGTGTAGAAGCCTGTATAGGAAATAGAAATATGAATTTCATTCTTTAGACCCATTGCGGTCATACAGTCCCCTCATCTCAAGCCTTTTTTACGTTGCTGAAATTCAACAAAATGAAACTCAACAGGTGCAAGTCTTTTTTTGGCGACCAAGCATTAATACTCAACAGTTGTGTTTCTCAATATTTTTTTTCTTTAAATCCTCTATAATACATAGGCAACCCAGACAAAAAGTATCACCATGTATGTCTGGTGAGAGTGTGCTTTATATGTCTGTCAGTTGCCGGTAGAATCATCTCTCCCTTTATTTTGTAGAAAAATATGAACTGTTTAAATTCTCTACTTTGAAATATATGCAGCTCAAATTCACAACAAAGAGATAAGCCAGAACTCTGTGGAATCCCAGCCCCACTCCAACACATCTCCAATGGTTTGGGTAACATTAAATTTCTAAGAACTTACAACCAGGTAAGAGAAAACAAACACCCCACAGTGTCATTTAGTCCACTGAAGCGTAATGAAGAACACCCAGGAGAATGACTCAAACAGCAGGCCTCAGAAAAAAAAACAGGGCTGACTCAAGCGATTTACATCCTCGTACGAGGAAATAAAACGAGCATCTCCACATAAACTTTCTCATTTAACTGTTTAAATTCTCTACTTTGAAATATATGCAGCTCAAATTCACAACAAAGAGATAAGCCAGAACTCTGTGGAATCCCAGCCCCACTCCAACACATCTCCAATGGTTTGGGTAACATTAAATTTCTAAGAACTTACAACCAGGTAAGAGAAAACAAACACCCCACAGTGTCATTTAGTCCACTGAAGTGTAATGAAGAACACCCAGGAGAATGACTCAAACAGCAGGCCTCAGAAAAAAAACAGGGCTGACTCAAGCGATTTACATCCTCGTACGAGGAAATAAAACGAGCTTCTCCACATAAACTTTCTCATTTTACGCTCTCCAACTAAATATTCTGATTAGGCCCTGATCGGTTCCACCCTCCGTTTTTCAAACGAAACAGAATCAGATGCAGCCAGCGACTATTGTCCACCGCATTGTTGGGTCTTGCAGCAAATTTGAATTCCAAATGCAATTACTCTCATCAAGTGCGCTCATTCTTGACTCTATATATTCTCTAATGTGGAATTCGCTTCATTTCCGCTTCCCTCAACATTCATTACAATTTAATGTCTTTCGTCGAAAAAAAAACTTTAGTATCTGTAAACCTTCAAATGAAAATCTAATAAGGGTCTTCAGAATCGTGGGTGGAGGGATGTGATTGGCTGAATGAGCTTGCACCTGTTTTTACAGTGGATACGATTGGCCATGAACCCAACAACAAACAAAATATTTACAAAGACCATGTCATCTCTTACACTTATAAAAATTTACAGTTTGCATCTTGTGTTTTTCGTCATGGCATGACAGAAGGTGGTCTTGTGTGTTTTCCATCCACCCAACGACAAGAAACTCCAAAAACAAGACGACGAGAGAACAAAAAATTGATGGAGATGGGAGCAGTATGCACAATTGCTTGCATTATGGATCGTAAATGTAAATTTATGTGGCGTGAGGAGTGACGCCTCGTCCACTGTAGCGCAGTACACCTCTTCAGGCTGCGTCTAGTTCCTGACTGCCACCACGGCTCCAACCTGATGCACAAAGCTTCCAGAGTCAGTATTCAGAGCTCATTTAGGGCCACATCTGTCCTGCTCCTCATACACTCACACTTACATGCGCACACGTGAACGCAAACCGCCCCGTCTCCCGCTTTCTCTCGGCCAGATCGTTCTTGGCACCCTGAAAGAGAGATTTCAGAAAAAAACACGTTGAGAGGTGAGAGGCTGAATCAGAAGGTCTTACGAGGACTTGTGACAGGGCATATAACAAGATGTCCGCCTGATGACAAGCGAGCTCAAACTGAGATAATCACTCAAAGGTCAGTGTCAGTGAGGGGGAAGAATGTTCTGGACACGTCATGAGCTCTCTTGGGCTCTGGATAAAAGAGAGGGACGGAGAGACTCCAGCTGTGCGGGAACGGGAGCAGGTGTTGATCCCGTCGCTCTGGACGTCCAACTCAGCAGAGTCCAAGTCTTTACGGAGAGAGAGAGCGACAGTGAACGTTCCTTAACTCAATGTGGCGTAATGCGCGGGTTACTACAGAGGACTATACGAGCGGAGAGAGATAAAAGGGATAAAAAAGGAAAGGAGGGGATCGTGGATCTGATCAGTCCTTCTCTGGGAGATGAGCTTTGTTGCACAGCTTCCGTAATTATAAATGAAAAAACGAAGGGAACTATTTATCCTCTTTATTATCATCAAGAATCAGTTTCATTTCCGGATATGACCATGTATCTACAGAGGGAAAAGAATCTCCAAATGAAGTGCACAAAATACAGCTGATGTAAAAAAAAGAGAGAGACAGAGAAAAAGAGAGAGAGCAAGAGAGAGAAGACTGTTGCAGAAAAAGACAATAAAAAGACAGAAAGAAGAGTCTTGAATCTCGAATGTCCATTTTCCTCTTAAAAAATAAATCATGCAAAATTACCAAAGCGCAATCAAGATATAAATTTAATTAATCTATATATTTTTATATAGATATTTGTAGTGTTGTTCATTTCTCTACATAGGCAAATAACAGTGACAGTGCAAAACAAAAAGCAAAAAATAAACATAAAAAATGAGAGAGAATAAAGAAAAGAAAAACTAATTTGGCACTTTTTTTCTCAATTCTGCAAATTCCTTGAATAAATCCAGTTCAGGTGATTCTCTCCATGTCCGTCCACTAGACTGCATCTGATTGGACGATGATCACAGTACTTGGCACAAGAATGCTGGTAAAAATTAGATAGTAGAATCTTTTTTTCATTCATAGCCTTATAAGGTTATCAATAATACATTTTTTACACGTATGTTTTCTTGATTTATAAAACAGTCAGAAGTAGGAAAAACTGTTCTTTTTTGGGGACTAGAAACGGCTACAGCAGAGCAAAAGACTCAGGGAGAAGAAAAGAAAAATAAGGGAAAGGTGGCAATGAAACTTGAGGGGGAAAAAACAGGAGAAAAAATAAAATGGTAGGGGATAGCTGCTGTATTGAGTAGGGAAAATGGCCAACATTTCTCCACCCAAAATCTTCCCCAAGAACGAGAGGAGCAGGAAGAGTAAAACAAGAAAGAAAGAGAGAGAAAGAGAGTGTGCTGGGAGTGGACTTAAAAAGGACAGGAGCGGTGTGTTGGACAGTATCCGTGTAGCGCACCACTCTTAGTACCGGAGGTCTGTGTTCCTATGCGTTTGGGGGCCCCGGTCCCCTCAGAGGGGTTACTATACTCGTGTGGTGGAGTGCTGGTGGGGCAGGGCATTGTTGCTATGCCCAGCACTCGGTGCAGGTGTAGGGGGGTAAGTGTTGAAGGCATGGAGGGGTTGCATGCCAGTGATGGTGCTGGGGATCATGGAAAGCGCGTTAGCCGTCATAAGTGGCACGTCCTCAGGTGCCCGCCGTAGTGCCAGAGTGTAGTCCGGCGGGCACACGGGTGGTCTTAGAGGTTCCAAGTCGCCATGTAGACCACGTGGTGGTAGAGGCGTGCCGTGGTCGAGCTCTACCCTCTGCTGCTTCATCTGCAAGGACATTAGCTCCTCCTCCTGGCTCAATGCCAGGTCGTTATGGGGCGGAGCCCCCACAATGCCAAGGCCCGGCCCCGCCCCACGTTGAGGCGAGAGGCGTCGATGGCGGCGTTGCAGCAGCTCGATCCGTTTGTCGCGTTTATAGTACAACGCAGCAAATGCCAGCACGTTGAGGAAGAGCAGCGACGCGCCCACTGCTACTGTCACGCTCAGCTCCGTCGAATAGTCCCTTGTGTCACTCGGGAATGGGAAGCGTTCAGGAGGGTGTTCAGAACCTTCGAGGTCCGGGTCGGGTGGGTAGGTTGAGACCGTGGGGTGGCGAGTAGAGCGTGTGCCAGGGCTCTGGGCTGTTCCCTTCCAGCCGGGCCGGTGCGGGCTGCCAGGGGGCAGTCGCGTGGTTATGGAGCTGATGATCTCCACATGAAGGGTGTGGAGGTGAGGAACCAGCTCAAGCCAGAAGGCAACTTTGTTGGCACGGTAATTATCCCGGATGCGAGGCTTCAACCCGATGTGGAGGTACTGCTTGTCTTTAGAGCTGAATTTGGTCCATATAACTTCCTCGAAGCGATTGGGCTTAGTATGGATGAACTTGGTATCCTGCGGTACTGGAATGTTCGGATCACTGGAAACAAAATATTGAAACAAAGTGAGAAGAAAATAAAAAGACAGAACTGCATTTGTATTCTGGTCTCACTGGGTGAACAAATTTGGACAGATCAAACTCTCACCCTGTCTTGGCGAAGTTGGTCCAGTATGTCATCACCACAGCGCTGAGCATGACATCATTCTTGGAAAAGTTGCAGGGAAATAGATCTGTGGCTCCCACCATGGGTACACCGAACACATACGGGATCTCGTCGCCATGTGCTGCGTCTGCCCACTCAGGTCGTGCCTCCGTCTGGCAGTGGTGGTGGAAGGTATAAAAATAAACAGGGGACTGGAACTCAGCATGCAGCTTAGCTGTAGCCACTGCTGGCGCCACCCACTGGTGGTCGGTAAAAAGTGCAAGTAGAGTTTTACGCCGCATGTCCCCGTTGTCGCGGTCAGCCCAATCTGTGTACATGAACTTTATAGTCTCCCGCAGTATGTCTTTACCTAAGAAGGGACAGAGAGAGACCAAGAGAGAAAAAGATGGATGTTGGATGTTGAAAGACAGAGTTGGTTGTCACACAAAGCAGGGCACCTTGACTCAATATAGGAGACAGTGAGACAGAAGCACCCAAGGTGAGGGGTAAAATTAGACTGATTACCTTGAACAACCGCTAAAAGAACGTATAGATGTGTATGTCAGTGTTGTCTACAGAAATCTGTGGGACTGTCCTGAATGGCACACCTGAAGTACATCTGATGTACACCTGATAATAAGTTTTCTCAATGCACACGTATGCACAGATTTCACAGATCTACTTTAGACCTCTAAGGCAAAAATTTTCTTTTAATAGGTACTCCATTCAGTGCTTGATTAGAAACCCAACAAAATAATTTATATCATGACAACTCTCTGAAGATTTGAGCATGGTAATGGATATGACAATATTAATATATTTGGTCTTGGTGGAATAGATCTGCTATGTTGCTGCTGCTGTTGGTTATTGTTGTAGTTGTAGATTATTGCTGCTGTTGCAAGCTAGTACAGGAACTTGCTACTGCCAATGCATACGGTGATATGGTGCTGTGAGTTTTTAAAACATACTGCTGTTGCACAAATAGCATATAAAATAACACGTAGCAGATCTATACAGGTGGAGCTGGGTAAGGTGGAGGGTTTCAGAGGAACTCTGAAAGCGCACTGCAAAATGCTCAAGTCAATGTCTCTTCACACTCCGATAGCAATCATTAAGTTAAGTGGTCTAAATGTATTTATCTGTATTTAGATATTCTGTGGAAGGCGTAGGACCAAGAAATGTTCGTCCAATCAAAACGCTCGGAACTTTCCTACCTGCCTGTCAACATATGTATTTGCATACCTCTGCGTACCCTGTTCACGCAGACAGGATACATCATCAGCGCGGTCACGTACGCTATTGCAGACAGAGTGAGAATGGCAGGCAAACATCAACAACTCGATCTTCCTTCCCGGTATTGTTGTACTTTTACTAACTGTGCTATAAAGTTTTCTCACCAGTGAATGACACATGATGTATTGAAGTAATTGTCTGATCTGCGTACGTATATGCATTCAGGGGGCGTGGCTTTGAACGGCGATTTGCAGGGAGGGTGGGACGTTCACATTCAGTGCTATCAGGCTAAAGTTAGCATTTTCCAAGATCTCCTACTGCACCTTTAAGAATCCATCAGCCTGCGCCATCTAGAGTTTCATGAAAGAACTAGGCATTTACATTGTGTTGAATATTTAAATATGACAAGTGATGTATTTTAAATCAAGTCAGTGAATAATATAATTTCTACATTGTGCTGTAGATTCAGTGGCAGCAATGGCAGGGCAAACATCAGCCTATGTGCAAGTGACTACGGGTGTATCATTGAAACTCACCATCTGGGTATCCATAGAGGTTGTCCACAAAATTTGATATGGTGTAGTCGAAGGAAGCGGCTGAAATACCATCCTCACCTTCACTGTCATCTACAAATTTCAGCCCTTCACCCTGGTTCACCCCCAACAAGATGTCGTAGTTCAGGAACTCCCCCTGAGGACATTACACAAATGTCACCCATTGTACTCACTTTCGCTAATTAACTATCAAGATTAGACTCTAAACTCTGGGACCCTGCTTTGACTAAAATCACACCTGCTGCATGAGGATCTCAGGGTCATCGGGTACCACATCTCCGTCCACCACCGGTCCGAATGCGATGTGGTAGCGGGCAGGTTGGATATCCTGATCCACCAGCTCCCTGAAGCTCTTCCTTCGCAGACAGTCCACCAGATCTGCAGTGTCGCTGTAGCTGCAGCCCACCTTCTTGGCCAGGATCTTGGTGTACATCAGAGGCCGGTAGTTGACTGACCAGCTGGATATGGCGGAGCCACTCTGAGCAATGGCCCTCTGGAACAAACCTGAAACCAGGGCCAGTTACAAGACAATGACTAAGAAAAGTCAAAGAGCAGACTATAATGTGAGTAGGTCAATGTGGACAGAGTGTGACCCGTGACCCATGACCATGAGCAAGATAAAGCCACTGAGTATCTTTTATCATCACAAAAGGAAGGCCAGTGGAACTAATTTCCATAACAATAAATGCTTTCCAGGCTGGTTTCTTAACTTTAGAACATAATATTCACTTCAGAATAGAGAACACATTTTTAACTTAAGAACAGAAGAGATGCTTAACTTCAGAACAGAACAGAACCTTAACTTCAGAACAGAAAATAATATAATCTCAATTTTAGAAAGAGATCAGAATTGAATCTCATTTTCAGAACAGAACAGAAGCTTAAGGTCAGAAAATAACAGAACAGATTCTTAACTTCAGAAAAAAGAACAGAACAAAATGGAATCTTAATAGAACACATTCTTAACACATTTCTTCAGAACAGAATCTTAACTTCAGAAAAAAGATCAGGAAAGAATGGAATCTTAATTTCAGAAAGAATGCAACCGAATTTTAACTTCAGATCAGAAGAGAATTGCAAGAATACATTTTTGCATTTGGCAGACACTTTTATCCAGAGTAACTTGCATTGCATTGAAGGCAAACATTTTATCAGTTCATGCATTCCCTGGAAATCAAACCCATGAACTTGGCATTGCTAGTGCCATTCTCTACTGTTTGAGCTACAGGAATGCCAGAATCCCAGAATGCCAGACAACAGTTGGCCTTGTGCACTGGCTACAATAGAGAGTTGAGGTGCAATGTGTATTTAACCTTTAAAAATATTCAATTAAACAGTGTGTCATGTACATTCGGACCAAGACTGTCAATATCGTCACAGACCTTTTAGACCTTACTGTATATGAAACTGTGCTACCCATCTACAAGTAAAGTTCTGAAACTAGATTTAATGGTCAGAGAAACATGTTGCTAAGCTAAAATGGTGGAAGTCTGCACAGTAGAAAGGTCATGCTGGCTTCAACAAGGCATAACCAATAACAGCATGAACCAACAGTCAGGGGCTCCTTTTAGTATGTGTTGCAAATTGGGCAGGTAGAAACTCTGATTCATTACTTGAGTGAAAGTAACAAAGTGAGCTAAGCAGTGTTCGAAAAGGCTCTGGATAAGCATGCGGAAACCATCTTGGCTTTCAGAACCCTGCTGCACCGTTATGTAAAGTGCCCCATGGTTTTCATCTGCAGATTCTGTTATTAATTATTAAAATGTTTCACCCCCCCAGCCACACACACGCGCACACACACACACACACACACATTCGCACTATACTCTATTACAAGACCCCCCAGGTCCAGTTCCCTATGAAATCAATTAAGAATCAGCTCAGCTGCAGTACAACACTTCTGCATCACACACACATAGTTGTACATGCTGCTCATTATGAATTTGTCTCACATCCCTCCATTTTTATCACACAGGACTCATTATAAACTGGCATCAAATGCAGACGCACGTGTGATCTCGAGATAGCGGTGTAAATCAGTTTCGCACACACACAAACTCACACACACCGCAAGGCATTGCCTCTCACTTTCACACAGCTGCACAATATATCAATATTAAAAAAATTCAGAACATAGAATAGTATACTGTAAAAAAATATATAGCACAACTAGGGTTATAGACTTTAAAACAATTCCAAATATCCAAAAATAAAAGTCTTCCAGGTTTGGAATGACATGAGGGTAAATGGGTCAATGACAAATGAGAGTGTCCATGATAAAGAGAAAAAAAATCCTATTCTAAAACACATAATGTTCTAAGAAATTTTTATGGCTTTATAAAATATTTATACCATTTTCAAGGAAAGTTTACATTTCATGAGTATAAAATATGACAAGGTGTCAAAAGTAATACATTTTTTACTTTGTGAGCGTAAACATTTTAATTATTTTTTAAGTCATTATGTCAAACTACTTCTTTTCAATAAAAGCTTGTTTTTAAATGAGGCTAGTATCTTCATTATGATATCAGGACAGTTAATATTTTTGACTTTATGTCCATCTTGAAATAAAATTAAAATCATTGTACTATCCGAAAGTCTGACACCAAACCTCTTCTGATTAGAATGTTTTTCATTTCTGTATTAAAAGAGTAATATTATTAAGTAATATTTTAAAATATGACTACAATTTCAAATAACTGTTCTCTATTTGAATATATTTGAATATTTCTGAGATGCAAAACTAAAATTTCAGCATCATTATTCCTGTCTTCACTGTCACATGATCCTTCAGAAATCATTCTAATATGCTGATTTGCTGCTCATGAAACATTTCTTGAACATGATTAATGTTGAAAACAGTTGTGCTACTTAATACTTTTGGTACTTTTTGATACAGTGATACATTTTTTCAAGATTTTTTGATGAATAGAACGTTATATTGATGAATAGAAAGGAATTTCTTTGAGATCTTTTGTACCATTATAAATGTCACGTTTGATCAATTTAATGCGTCCTTGTTGAAATTTTTTTTTTCCAAAAGAAAAAAAAATCTCACTGACCCCAATATTTGAATGGTAATATGTGTATGAACTACACTTGTAGTTTTAAATGGATTTTTTAATAAATAGAGAGAGAGAGAGAGAGCGAAAAAAAAAAGTCCTAATGAATAAATGTTCATTTTTTGGTGACCTTCCTTTAAATGATGGGATTTTTTATTGATGATCAAGGCAACAGAGTTTCAAACCTTCAGAATGATGGGACAGGATGAGAAGGTTGACGCAAGAGGCTCCAGCCCCAGAGCCAAATATGGTGATTCTCTCTGGGTCTCCTCCGAAGTGTCCGATGTTCTCATTGAGCCATCGCAGAGCCTGAATCTGGTCCAGTAGCCCATAATTCCCCTTTGCAGACTGATTTCCAGTGCTCAGAAAACCTACAGAGAGCGAGAGAGTTAGATTGGAGATAAGATAACAGACAATGTGAACCAAAGGTATAAAAGACCATGATCAATACATGTTGACCAAGATCAAGCACTCTGAGGCCTAGAAGAGTAAAGTGCCTTGGTAAACTGAAAGAATGAGGCAAGACAGAGGAATAAAGCATTAATTAGTCATGTTCATTTAGAACTTCCTGTTACCATTTGGAATGATTCCAATAGATTTGAACTTGTCATGAATAATATATACTATGTTTGGTATAGCAAACAATACAATGAAAGCTTCAGCAGAACATATTATTTTAAAGTCATTATTTAAAACACTTTTTTCTCGTAAAATTTACCATGGTAATCAATGCATAATGAAAAATAGTAGACATTATACATTGTATACTGCACATTAGACATTAAGCACAACATTAGTATTTTTGAACCTTTTTAACTGATTCATTCAGTGACTGAATCCTTTGGTCTACATGACTCTGACTCACTCACCAGTGATGATGCCTACAGGAATGGTGACTGAACTAATGAACGAACAAATCAGAACCGTTTCAAAAGAATCAAATAATTCTATTGCTACTCATAAATCTATTAGTCAAAAACATGTATGACTTCAGTTGCAGTACTATAAAAGCTTCATTTAACATATTATTTGAATGTCAGTATTTTTTCTCTCATAAAACTGAAGTAAATTTATTTGTAAAATTGAGCATGTTTAATAACACTTTATACATTACGTGTTTTTTTTTTACAAATCTTTTGTGAGTGTATCAATGCTACAGGATGTAGCCTACATGAACGGTGACTGAACAAATTAAGTAACAAATCAAACTGCTTCAAATCATTCCATCGCTATAAATCTATTTATAATCGCTCAAAAACATATGTGTCTTCAATTACAGCAGCTTTGGCAGAACATATTTTCCTCTGCAACGCTCAGAACTGTGATCCTCAGGGGTGCTGGGGTGGGTTTGATGCATTAACTGTTATCGCTGCTGGTGAGAGGAGCTTTATTATCATCTTGTCAAGCCCATCTTTATGACGAGTCTAGCCGATTAGCCAGTTTAGACATTTGGACTGTTGTTCTAAAAGCTTAAAGGCCCAATATGTAATTTTCGCAGCTAGAGGGCGCATACTTAAAATAAACAAAGAGACAAAGGCGTAGTTTGATGACGCCGTGACTGAGTGTGGAATCATGGGAGTTGTCATCTTCATCCCCACAGCCGATGCAATCTGATGGGACTCGGGCAGAAATCATGTTCATGGATGAGCTTATGATTTATTAACGTAGTAGAATGAAGCAGGGTGAGGCTGAAAGTCGTCGAAGCGAAACGAGGCTGCTGAACAAGTGTGACACACGGCTCGAAAGCAGCGGAGCTTTTATTATGCTACAGTAGACCGCTTCCGCTCCTTCCGGTTGTGTGTATGTGGGGGAACAAAGCAGTGCTGTTTTATCATACTAGATACATTTGAAAGTTCTGTTATAATGCTACTCTGTGAGGTCGTCACCGGTCTAATAAAACACACAACATATTAAAGCGTCTTTGGTGTTTCCATGTTTTCTACAAAACAAAACCGGAAATCGAGGGGTTATGACGTCATTGGCAGGCGACACAATGACACTATGGCCAAGCGCCGTGTCACTAGTTAAAATTGCTTATTTCTCTGGATTTAAACATTCTTCGAAACATTTGGTATAATGCAAGTACACAAGTCAGCAAAATATATAACACTGTACTAGTGGTTTTTTGACATTTTAATAAAAAAATAAGTTCTTTTTTATTCCTTTAAGTGCCCACATCCACATACATACTTCAAAACAAGCATGCTACCGCTCATTAAAATGGGGCGTGTGAGGCTCTGGGGTCACAGTGTAAATGAGAACTAAAGAGCTTATGTAAGACCATCTAGTTTACTATTCTAACTGAACTGGTGATGCACTACAAGCATGAAAATGTAGCGAGAAAAAGGCATATTTCCCATGTCTAAGAAACCACTCTTCAGACTGTGAAAGACAGGCTTACTCCGTAATATTAAAAGAAATGGGGAAAAGACATAAGAGGGGAAAAAGAGATAAAAATAGACCCGTACTTAAAAGCTACTGTGCCCTCAGACCCAATATAAGATTCAGTGAGTGTGACTGTGTGTGTGTGTGTGTTTTAGAGAAAGAGAGCACGTCAAAGAAACTAAGAGGGATGAGTAGGGAAGAAGACAAACTGCCATGTTGTTTTCAGGAGTCAGGCCTGTGAGGAAGACGACAAGCGACAACATACGGCACATCATATTACAAACAACACACAACAGGAAAACAGATCTCGCACTCAATCTCGCACTCTACATATAAAAGGCTCCACTGGTGTGTTGTAGATGGAGGGATACGCTGAAATAGAGCTTTTTGAAAATGTTCGTTACAGATGTTAAAAAAAGCTTTTGACGTCTGAAACTCCCACAGGCCGAAAATTACTTTGCTTTAAAGGATACTGCTGCATCTGCTACATTCATTTACATGCTGTGCAAAACAGTAGCGTGTATTCATGACCGACGGCATCGTTATCCTAAACCATGAGATCGTTTCCATGACAAAATAAAGCATTAGCAGTGATTAGCAACAATAAATATAGCCTATATTTTCGCATCTTTCTTTTAAATATCACCTAAACTACCTTTCAAAGATTTGGGGTCTGTACACATTTTTTTTACCCTCTGAATGAACAGGTTTTTTTTTTAATTGAGATTTATACATCTGAAGGCTGAATAAATAAGCTTTCAAACATCAAATACAGTTTTGTTTTATCTTCACATAAAAAAATGTGAGATTCAGGGATACAGGTGTTTTTTTGTTCAAACTCGCCAAGAAAAAAAAAAAACTGGGGAAAACAATCATTTGGGCCACATTGAGCTGTGGTGTGACTGTGAACATAGCTGTATTGTCTAAATGACATTAATAGGACAGGTAACTGAATGTGTACTAACACACATCATAAGCATCAGCCTCACGAGTCAAGGACAACCCGTAGAAAACGAGACAAATTACGTTTTCATCAAACGGGGTCTGTACACATTTTTTTTACCCTCTGAATGAACAGGTTTTTTTTAAAATTGAGATTTATACATCTGAAGGCTGAATAAATAAGCTTTCAAACATCAAATACAGTTTTGTTTTATCTTCACATTAAAAAATGTGAGATTCAGGGATACAGGTGTTTTTTTGTTCAAAAAAAAAAAAACTGGGGAAAACAATAATTTGGGCCACATTGAGCTGTGGTGTGACTGTGAACATAGCTGTATTGTCTAAATGACATTAATAGGACAGGTAACTGAATGTGTACTAACACACATCATAAGCATCAGCCTCACGAGTCAAGGACAACCCGTAGAAAACGAGACCTGTGCTGGATCAGGCCACCACAGGCGAGTGCCTAAAGATGAATGAAGTCACCGAGTACATTACAAATACAACTGTAGTGCAAATTAGTGGGGGAAGTGTGGATGTGAGGTCTTTTTATAATAGTTTCATGTTAGGTGAGTGTGAATCCTAGAGGTGCTGGATCTGTGTCTGAGCAGCATGCACATTTCTGTAGGCACGGGATACCCGGCTGACCTACTTCACTGGGTACTGTATCCCACAATGCAACCTGCTCAACTTAACCTTCCATTTCTAGTCCGACAAATTATTTAAGGGATTTTTAACATCTCTGCCAGCGTCATATGCGGCACATTACGGGTCTTGTGACAGTAATTTAGAATACTACTTTAAACAGTTTGTTTCAAATAAAATGTTTTACATAGTATTTTTAGATAATAGTTGTGTCACAACACACTCGGGGAGCAAGTAACGAGGAGTTCTTCAATATCACAGTCTTTTTAATAATCCAATCACAAGGGGAACGTAGGAGGCACAGGAATACATGGAAGGACATTCAGAACCGACAAACACTGACTGAAAGGACTAGGGCTTTTAAACACAGGATAATTGGGGGAAGAACTAGACACACCTGGAATCAAATTAACACAATCAACGGGAGACAGAAACTGAGTCACAAGGAGCAAAAACGCACACAGACAGGTTCATAACCCTGACATAACGCCCCCTCCCGGAAGGTGCGTCCTTGCACCGTAGAAACAACATGGGGAGGGGAATGGGTGGGAACTTGGGAGGAGGTTCCGGAGGACGGATATCCGGGAGGAGGCCGGCAGACAGAGACCAGGGGGGCGACGAAGGAGGGAGGAGCTCAGCAGGACCAAGGCCACAGCCATAACAGCGGCCCACGGTGGAGCCGACGGTGGGAGGAGCCATGGAAGAGGGATGGCCGCCGACCAACGGCGGCAGAGCAGGTGGAGGAGGAGCCCGAGGCGGAGACGGAGAGTCAATGAGCCAGGGGGATGCCGAGGATCCGGGGGGCCAGGGTGGAGCCGAGGGCTCTGGCGACCAAGGCGGAGGCAGAGATCCAGAGATCCGCGGCGGAGCCGGAGCGACTAAGGACCAAGGTGGAGCTGGCTGGAGGACGGAGCTACGAGGCGCAGCCAGAGGAGAGGAGTCCAGAGGCGATGGCGGGTCGATGCCCCACCAAGGCGGAGCCAGAAGGACGAGGGAGCCCGGTGGAGCTGATGGAACGACGGTGGAGGCAAGGGAGCTAGGAGCCGAGGTGGAGCCACTGGGTCTACGGGCCGAGGCGGAGTCCGGGCCGGGCCGTGAGGGATACTCTGACCCCAGTGACGCTGGAGGATGGGAGTCCCGCGGGGCTCGCACTGCAATGATGGTGGGCTGAGGGTGAGCAGAGGGGCTGCCAGCTGACAGCGGTGGAAGAGGCTGGAGCGGGTGGGAGGGCGGGCATTTTCGAGGAGCGGGCACTGGAGGGCGCTCTGAGCTGGCCTCGGGGGCTGGATCCCTCCCCTCTTCGTTTTGTCCCTTTTGCCGCACCATATACAGCTCACGCTCAGCCGCGATGCAGGGGGCGAAGCTCCACTCTGCGCTCACACTGTCCACGGCTTGC